GAATTCCCCAGCCAGCCATGCTGGCTAGGGAATTCTGGGAGTTGAAGTCCACACATCTTCAAGTCACCAAGGTTGAGGAATCCTGCTCTAGGGCACCCTTTCATGTAACTGAACACTGACATGTCTCTGCTCAATCATCTTTTCTCCAGACTGTCCTCAAGCCCTGTGTCATCTTTGCTTTCCTCTGAATCTGTTCTGTCAATCAGCTTCTGGAAATGTGGTGCCCAGAATCGTATGCCACGTGTGGCCTCACCAGTGCTGTGTAGAGGGGAATAAAGTTTTCATGTTCTTTGATGCAGTGTTTTTTCTGACACAGCTCAGAATTGCATTAGCCCTTCCAGCAGCCTTCTCACACTGTTGGCTCACGTAGCTGGTTGCTAGTGGATACACCCAAGTCCTTCTCTGACATAGTGTTTCCAAGCCATGAATCCATCATCTTGTATGTGTGTCCTATATTTTCCGTCCCTAAATATAATACTTTGCATTTCTCACAGTTGAAGGACATTTTGTTCCACTCAGCCTAGACTTCTAAATTATCCATGTTAGATTGCAATCTCATTCTGTCTTCCTGGGTGTTGGACAGACCTCCCAGTTTTGTGAATTAGTCTTTCAGCAGATGTCTGGGTAACTGAATCTCCCATCACAACCACTTCATGGTTTTTTGAAGCTTCAGTTATTGCTTTAATAAATCTTCTGACTGGTTTGGTGGTCTGTAGCAGACTCCTAGCAAGAAATCATTTCTATTAGATTGCCCTTTTATCTTAACCCAGATGCTTTCCACATTTGTATTACCATCAGGACAGGGAGCCCCTGGAGAGGTCAGCTCGTTCCTGATGCTCAGTACTACACCACCTCCTCTTTTGTGTTGTGTGTTCCTCTGATGCAAGGTGTCCACATCAACTCCAATGTTCCACTGGTGGGATCTCGTAACCCTTGTCAGATCTTTGGGCCTCATGATATCCATCTCATTATTGTTACCCATATTTCAAGCTTTAGTGCAGAGACAGTTCGACTCTTCGACTCCAGTCTCCCTTCTGTTTACTTCCTTTAATCCATTACCTACCAATTCATTATTTGCAAATGGTTCTCTAGAATCTCTCTAGAAACATCCAAGATACACTCCTATCCAAAAAAGTTCCCTTCCTTGAAAAAAATATTAATTAGCAGGAAAATGGGCCAAGTTAGGGCACAGAACAGGCCGAGGGATCAATTCCAGCCCCCTGTCCCATCCACTTAACCCTTTGTTGCTACCAGCATAGCTCTAAACTGGTTGCCAAAAGCTCCATATATGATGTCCTGGCTAATTCTGAAATTAGTTTTGTCCATTTCTTCCAACAGCAGTTGGGCCATTTTGCTGGACTTTGCACAAACACATTCCTACGCAGGCTATGTCCAGTCCCATCTACGAGGACATATCACCGGCTCCATACAGGACTGAAATGTCAACAGGGGCCTGTCCCAGTGAGTTTCCTCCTCCCAGAGACAGCGCCCCCGGCCCTCAGTCTCTCTTCTCAGATGTGCTTCCGCATGAGACCCTCGCAGCTGTTCAGCACCCATCTTAGTTTTCAAAATTCACTGCTTGATCCGAGGCACAGTGCTTCAGAAGACACGACGAGAGCTCTCCCACTCTCAGAATGCCCTGGCCAGGTTAAGCACTTCTGGAGCAAAGGGGAGTGACTGGCAATGCTAGACGGTGTGTCTGGAGGGGAGGGGAGGGGAGGGGAGGGGAGGGGAGCCAGGGCCAGGGAGTGCCATGCCAAACGTCTGCTCCGGCTAGGCGGGTTGGCTACCTAATAGCTTACAGATTTGCAGCAATGGTGACAGGCGGCTTTGCCCTCTGCCCATCTGATCAGCCAGGGTTAGGTCACTGTCACAGTTTGACCATTAATAAAAAGAAATCTGCAGTAGAAAGTAAATTTCTGTACAGCCGGTAAAAAACATGGGAAATACAGCAGCGAAGGAACTGTTCCAATTGAGCCCCCAGTTGCTTGGGGAGCATACATGTCTCCCCACTAGAAACCTGGTGGCCATTTTTCCTTCGTTTGTTTGTTTGTTCATTTGGTCAGGAGAGCGAGACATAATGGAATCTCTTCCGGAGAACCTTTGCCCCAGAGGAGATGCGGGCAGTTCACCCAACTGCTATCACATGTACCATCTTGCTAAGTTAGATCGATGCAGCCTCGTTGGACCTTGATGAGGCAATCAGCATGACCCAGAACATGCTGCAAAGCTCCAAGCCAAAGTCCCTCAAAAGCACCCCCTGGGCTTTTGCATCTGATGCGGTCCCACAACGGGGCTGTTCTGACTTGAAGAATCACTTCCAAAATCCTTGAAACAGCCCATTTCACACTTAAAACCGGCAGTTTTGCCATCAAAATGGGACGCTGCATGAAGTCTGCCCTGGAAACCTTTCAAAACAAAATTCTTTACATACCTCTGTCCTCCACCAAACCCCCAGATCTGGAATGGCTCCCCTCCCCTGCCAGGTCTGAGTGAGGAGGATGGATGCCACCCAGCTTCACCCCCTGCTCCAATGATTACAGCCTTTCCGTGCTTGATGCCATTTTTTAAATTTGTGACGCTTAGCTAGTTCATCCAATATTGTCTGCTTTGAGAGCAATGGTTCTCTAAGATCTCTCCACACTCATCAGCCACTTTCTGCTGTTGGGATTAAACCAAGGCCCTTCACCCTGCCAAGCAGGAGCTCTTCCCCACCCAAGACTCCCTCCCTCAAGCAAAGTGAGAAGGGTCAACCTCCATCAGTCCTGGAAATCCTTACCTGCCACCCCAGTCCCTGAAGCACCGCCCCTGCACAAGCAGCGAGACCCTCCCATTCCCCATCCCCAAACCCACAACTCACCTCATTGAAGTCTCCCACCCGTGGGATGTGATTCTTCCTGCTCTTGCCAAGCACAGAACCAGAGTTGGAAATGACCACCGCTGTATTCCACAGAGTTTCTCCATGCGCAGCGTCTCTTTCCAGGATGGGAGACACCACAACCAGATTGTGCTGCTTAGCCAGCTGCAAACAAAATTATACTGTATTCTATGCAGCACTTTTGGGGCTTTGTTTACTCAGAAAGGTGGCAGTACCAGAAACTGCAATGGTTGAGCAGAATTGCAGGATTTTTCAGAGCATTTCTGAGATCATGCCGAAAACACTATGTCAGGCTTCACCAAATCAGCTTTCATTGCTAGAAACACAGCAACTATCCTCTCTGTGCAACTTACAGCAAATGAATTATATGATTATCATTTCTGGAAACAGTATTTTGTATTACATTTCAGCCTTGATAAGTCATGTCTTCCTTGATCTAATTATGTTTTCTCTTCCTTCCCCTTGTGTCATCTTGTTCTCCCATTTGCCTGCATGTTTACCACAACTCTCCCCGAGATGCAATTAATCTCACTTTTACTCTCACCCATTCTTGAACTTGTGTTTTAGGGAAAATAGTAGAGATGCAAACCAGAGCACCGTTGACCCTCTGAATTCAGCAAATCATTTCACAGAATAAAATGCACCCCTCTCGAGAAGGGAAGCCGTACTTTCTGGCAAGTTTACTGTGGATGCACATACCTGCAGCCGCTGCAAAGATGCAGCTTGCTTCCTATTAGGAGGGGGCTGGAGTCCACCCATTTTTTACTGAAACAAATAACCTGGAGTCACACAGGAGCACCAGAACTATATAGTTCTCATTAGGCTAGCTTCCTTCACCACACAATCTTATAATCCCTGTGCAGACCAATGTCCCCTTGAGTTAAACGGGGCTGACTCCAAAATAACGGTGTGCACAATCACAGGCAGGGTCAGTCATATCCTCCTTCTGGCAAACAATTGCTGGCCCCTGCAGTGGAAGATATTCATTGTCCTCCCAATTTGCAGAGGGATGAGAGAACGTATAAAGGAAATGCACTGTATGAACACAAAACAGTACCGCGCAATACAGAATTGTGTGCTGTGCACAATCTTAAAAGAATTCTGGAAAGTATCTGCAGGGAGGAGGAAGCAAAATGGAGTTCTCTACCTTCTGGCAAAATCTTGTGGTTGGTCCATCTTCTGCTGACTCAGCAAATTCAGTCCAAGGCAGCCTCTCTCGTGTACAGAAAGCAAAAGGCATGGCTAGTGAAACAGCATAAAAAGAAATGAGCACACAGCTTTGCTCTGGTTAAACAAAAGAGTTTTCTAAGCTGGTCACTTGTTAGGAAGCCCGCAAACACGCACTGGCTTCTTCTCTGTCGCTAACTCAATCACCTCTGTGAAGTTGGAAGTCTAAACCTGGGGGGTCACTCTGCTGTTCTACGTTCCTTACAGTCAAGGTCAAGTATTTGCAAAATAGTCTTCCATTTAAAAATGCTCAACTTCGCTAACAGAAAATACTAAAGCAAGCTCCAGAGGAACACAGGAATGTGCCTTAGATCAGGTCGAGCTTTTTCCCCATCGAGGCCTGTCCCATCCCCTCTGCTGAAGCCAGCAGGGCTTCTTTTTCCCGTCTCCTGTTGCTCGACAGTCTTTTGAGCAGAAATTGCGGGGCCTAGATCTGCAGCTCTCTGCACATGCCCCAGAGCTGAACAACAAGGTATCCAAGCCATAGCCATGTGCGAACCCCACCATAACGCGGAGTAGCATAGCTAACTGCACACACTGGGGCCACTGCCTCTTCTCTGCCCACAAGCAGAGATGGAGGAGGGAGAACTTCCCCGAGAAGACATCAGGGGCTCTCTCATCCTGGCCACCCCCTTTGCCTCTCCCAAGCGACAGAGAGGCCTCCCTCCCTCCCACCGCGGCCTCTCTGTCCAGGCAGATCTATCCGGAGCTACGGCCCGGGAAGAGTTTTCAGGAAGGGGCGCTTCAGTTCAGCCGAGCCCGGGAACTTCTCCCTCTGGCCTCTTCCCCTAGTTTTTGGTCCTGCCTCCTGGCTAGTCCTTTGGCTCTGGCTCCTCTTCAATCCAGATCAGACATGAGATTCCATAATGAGTTCGCTATTCTTTTCACCACTCCTCCGGGTGATGCGCCGCTCTCTGCTGAAACAGTCCTTGTCTTCTTCATTCGAGATGGCTTACACTGTAATAAATCTATTTCCCTTCATGGGGTTATTTTGCAGTACAATCAAACCTACCAGACAAGGTTACTTTGTGTCCCCCCTGCACCTGGACGTTAGCTCAATGCAGTCCTTCTACCTTTCCGGCCTTCTGCTAAGACCACCCTGGCTTTGGCTACTACACTGTTCTGTGAATCGGAGCTTTGACTGGGCAGGTGCCAGCACGGAGAGGCTAAACAATCTGCTACTTACTCCAGGCCTCTTGGAAACAGATCACATTTACTCCACACATTTCTGCCACTTCCACAATCTCTTTTATGCGTTCGTGTAGCGCAGTTACCTAGACAGAAGCGGCACCACAGGTCAAAACAACCTATTGTGTTAATAAATCACTATTACTTTCCTTTTGCCTCCCAGGCTCACACACAGGTAAATGCCAAGTGAGGAAAAGGGTAGAGGAGATGCCCACTGGAGGTTGCCAATGATAGCGAAGGAGGCTCCTTAGTGAGTCCCACACTAAAGACGTCTTAAGAGATGCAAAGGACCCTCCCCACTTTGAGAGTACAAGAGCCAGCCGTATCTGAAGGAGTCCGGAGAACTAGATGATGAACAATGTTCAACTTCTAAACGCAGCCGGGGAAGGGGCAGAGTCCCCTCAAGCCGAGGGGGTCAGGGCGACCCAATCACTAGAGTCCTGCCTCTGCCACGGAAATCATGGAATCAAAAGCAGCTTCTTCTTCCTCCCGAGAAAGCCTTGCTTTGCCACTGGAAGGGCAAGGGGTGCCCCGTATTTCATCCCATTAAAGCCAGGACACAGTTGCTGTAGGACCTGCACACCCCAAGGTCACATGCCATGCCCAGAGTCATGAGCAATGAGAAGGTATCAAAATATGACAGAAAAATAAACTGCCACAGCTGTTGAGTTATATAAGGTACTTCATTACAATGACTTTTTGAGAAATTACCGTAATTAAGTACATTACAGTGGTACCTCGGGTCATGAACGCTTCTGTTCACGACCAATTCGGGTCATGAACAGCACCATTCGCAAAATTT